AAAAAAATCAAAATGAAAAATAATATGGAAGTTGCACTTATGCTCACAGCACTCACCAACAAAACACACCAAGCCATGGCAGTAGCACACGCACACCGTCCACCAAACTTTGCTTGATCGCCTGAGAAGTGATTTTGAATCCTTGCCAAGTCAGGCAGATGACTTACGTTTATATATCTCTTCACGCGTCGCACCAGTAGCTGTGAAGCCAACAAGAAGAAAAAACAAGGCAAACAGAGACATAAGGACAGCAATCACCACAAAAAATACTTGGACCTGAAATCATGTTCTATGCAAAGTGACAAGTGTGGTAAGCTAAATACCTTATCAAGCCATGGCCAATCCTGAATCCTCAGAGATCTCCTCGTTTGCTCAACAGTGGCATTGAAGCCCCACGTCATCATGACGGAGAAGAGTATGACACCGATGAAGCAGAGAAGAGTGGCAATGAGGGACGCGTACGGAATTCTGTAATAGATTTCACTTAAAAATCGCAGAGTGGAAGATCACATTTTCATTCATTCATTTGTGCTTGCATGGTTACTTTTGAAACTTCAGAAGAAATTCGGCATTACTTCATGAACAAAAAATAGCGAAAGATGACTGGAGGGAAGAGCGTACTATAACATATCACTCTCTTTGCAATAAAACAGAAACAAGAAAAAGAGGCCCAAGCAGAAAAGGAAATTGATGAAATGTATTGATAAACAACCAGAAGCAATTTCACCTGTTGAAGCAACCATCGTTTGGATGTGACTTCAACGGTATGGCTCCATTGATGATCTCCGGCTGCCGCCCTCGACGAGGAGGAGCATCCAGCGCCACCCCGTACACTTCTTCACCACGAATCTTGTTCTTGTGATATTACAGGTCCTAAATGAGATTTGACTCAATTTATACGTTTGACAGGCACCAATCTATTATTTGGGTAGATTGGCAAGACAGAATGGAAAGTAAGGATCTGAGAGGAAGATTGCGAATTCTACGGATTCTTCTGCTTGG